TATATAATATTTTTTTATAGTTTAGCAGGCCACTAATAATGAGCATTTTGGAGGTTAATTTATTTGTTTTTCTTTTATTTAATTTTATATTATTTTAACTGCACATGTTTTACCATGTTTAGGATTCAGAACACACTACAATTTAAAACTTTTTTTTTTTTGCGTGAAAACTTGCAATAGTTTACTTTTATTGCAATAGCTTTTTATAGTTCATTATTAATAGTTCACTTTTTTACAAATAGAATGTTAAATAGAACATCATCCATCAAAGAATCCTTAAAAAAATATGATTTCCACAAATATATATAATATAGCCTACTAAAACAGAAAACATTTTAAATTGTAATAATTTTACAATATTGCAGTTTTTACTGCATTTTTCATAAAAAAATGCAGCTGTGCTGAGCATGAGAGATTTTCAAAAATATTTTTTAAAAATCTAACCACTATACAGTAGTGTAAATAATAAGCTTTAAAAAATGTAATTGTCATTATTTACACATACTCATGGAATTCCAAAACCATGAAACACAAAGTAAACTTTTTCCAAAAATCATTATGCAGCACATGACAAAGTAAAAGTTAAATTTTGGGGTGACCTATTCCATTAAAATAGAATGCAATTTTTCAAGGTGCAACAATGTTCTTGCTTCCTGGTTTGCCTCTGAAAAGACTCACACTGTCAAAACATAAAATTACACAAAGCCTTTTCCCATTTTCAGACCAAACAGCAGATCATCAGTGAAGTTCACCTCCAGGCCAAGAGGGTAAGAAAGATGCACTAGCATGATACCACAACACAAACTAAAGATTGCCCAAATAAGGCTGGTCTGGGCAGGAAGTGGTAGAGTGTGCTGAGGCCAGAGGCAGCCTCCATTAGGAGACATTACCACATGGATGAGTACTGCAGCTTCCAATCTACATTCTCAATTAGAAAAAGGAGCACTTCCCTCTCCAATTAGGTGCACCTTTGGGAAGAGAGTAGGGATACTGGAGAAGGAAGAGGGAAAAGAAAAATACAAAACTGGAGAAGGAGAACAGGTGGTGGTTTACAGAGTTCACTGAAGAGTGAGGAAAGACAGACTGGACTTCGAAGTGTGTGTATGTGCTTCAGTGTTTTTCTGTTTGTGTGTGTGCGTACAGTCTAGGGTGACCATACTGGCCATTTTTACGGGACGCACCCTTGCCAGGATTTCTATATTGCCTAAAATATATGTTTGCACTGTGCAGATCGGTCGTTGTATAGCATTATTTCACAAGAGCTATAGAGAGCAGAGCAGCCGGCTACTTATGCTTTTAAATCGCTCTCATGGTACTTCGGTGTCATACAATGATCGGTGTGCAGCAGTCGAACAGTCGAACGAACACGTGCGCATCACGTGCAAACACGTACGTATTTGCATCTCTTTGATCGTTCTCACCTTCTCACGCGCGAAGCGCCACGATTGGTCAATTATGTACAATACCTGCATGTTATTGGTCAAAACTACTTTGGATGTTTTAGGCAATATAAAAATCCTGGCCAGGACGTGTCCCGTATAAATGGCACATATGGCCACCCTAGTACAGTCTGTATTTGCATGCAGTCTGCTGGTAATATAAGTGTGTGAATATTTGCGTTCATGTCGTTTAACGTGAGTACCAGCATGAGTGTCTGCTCAAAACGTGTGTGTGTTATGAAGGGGGTGTCACTGTAGAAATTCTCCTGATTAAAGCCATCCGTAAACACCCCACCCGCCCTCCTCCAGCCTTCAGGAGCTCCAAGCACAGGCTGATTTACTGAGTCCTGCACTGCTTCATAATAAAATGTGATTAAATGGAATGTCAGGCCGTGAATAATGAACCTCGCCGTCCAACCACTGTCACCACACATCAGAGAGCTACCAGTGCTCAGTGTCCCGTGCCACATCTCTCAGCACTAAACTACAACTGGGGTTAACATTAAACTGGCCACATTAGCATGGATGGCACTATCTGGACTTCAGACATGGACTTATACTCCAATAACCATGGAAGCTGGTCTGCACAACATGCTCCAAGGATACAAAAGGCAATTATACCAATGTGAACTGCACATAGTCCAGTTGGACATGACAGAAATAGGCTATATATAATTCTCACCTACACTCTCTTTTTCTCAACAGCATACAAACAAGGCTGCATTTATATGATCAAACATACAGTAAAACAGTAACATTGTGAAATATTAATATAATTTATTTAAATACAATTTTAATATATTTTAAACTGTAATTTATTGCTGTGTTCTCAATATGCAAAACATTTGTGTTGTTTAGTATTTTTTTGAGAAAACTGACACATTTATTCAGGATTCTTTGACTATTTAGACTACTACTATTTTTGACTACTAATCTTTCACAACATTATAATGTCTTTGATCACTTTTAATACATCTTTACTGAATAAAAGTATTAATTCCTTAAAAAAACTTTTTAACTGTAGAAAAGAGAAGAAAACTTATGACAAAAATGTGTTCAGGAGTTTTTGAATTTTCACAAACAAAAATATAAATTAAATATAAATTCTTTGAAAATTTTGTTTAAGTTTGAATTCAGGTCAACTAAAATGTTATTGACCAAAGTTAGATGGTATTTTAGTCAGAATAGATCGACTAAAATGAATAAACACAGCACAACAAAATATTGACTACATTTTAAAGAAAATGAGACAAAAAAGGGTAGGCAGCAAAAATTAGAGACGTGTTTTCCCTTTCAAACTGTTGGATGGAGCGAAACTGGATGTAACAAAGTGCTGGGGTGACACATTTCAAAAAGTTGAAATACTTTGAATTAGACTAATAAACGCTTATGGAACGAGATGATAAAACAACAAATGTGACCAAAACCACTTGCTTGCTTTTTTTTAAACAACACATTAACAGCATCAAACTAAAGCA